TAGGGAAAGCCAGGGCCAATTCAGAATTAGAGGGTTGGTTTCTAAACTGCAGGCTTATACGTACACACGAGAGCTCTTCCCTGGACACATAAGGACTTTCGTAATCATCTCATTAATTAATGTTTCAAAGGAAGTAGCTCTAAGTGCTCAGAACTGTTGATTTTTCATAGTGATGTCAAGTTTCCCTGGACCTTCTTTGCACTATTAATTTGGTTAGCACATTCCTCTTTTCATTATATGTAGGTAAGATTCTGCTATTTCCTCATCTGAAATACTGAGTTCCAGACTCGTGGGATCAGAATTGCAGAGACAGTGTAGCTCCAGTCACTCCCACGTGACAGTGCTTGGCTCTGGGATTTATCAGTGTCTTGAGTGGTTTTCATCGATCTGTTTACAGCTTCTGCACTGAGCCCCTGTTTATCTCTTCCTCCCGCTATACTGTACGCCGCACATGGCCAGTCACCAATGTGCCCGCCGTCCCGGTAGGGAACAGGATTACTGGTCCTGGAATAAGCCCCTCCTAGCGGTCAGGTCGTCTCCCCTGCTTTCTCTCTGGTGGGAGGGCGTCATCTGTGATGGGTGGACCATTGTTCTGTTTTCCTGTCCGTGTGGGGCTGCCTTCCCTCCTTCTCTAGTTCTTTCTGGTTACCTTGGTTTCTCTACTACTAACGAGTCCCGTCTGCTTCGCCAGGAGCAGTACGTGTTCATCCACGATGCCATCCTGGAAGCCTGTCTTTGTGGGGACACCTCGGTCCCTGCTTCCCAAGTCAGGTCTCTCTATTATGACATGAACAAGCTGGATCCACAGACAAATTCAAGCCAGATTAAAGAGGAATTCCGGGTAAGTCGTGCTAAAGGGACAGGTGGCCGGCTGTGACCTTGCTCCTTAAGAAGGATCTCAGAGTCGGCTCCTGAACCCTTGAGCCAACACAGGGTTTCTTAGCCTCGGCACTGTTGACACTGGGGACCCAATCATCCATTACCACGGGGGCTGTCCTGTAGGATGTTTAGCAGCATCCCTGGCCCCTACCCACTGGATGCCAAGAGGCCTCCACCACACCGTTCTGACAACCAAATCATGTGCAGACATTGCCAGTGTCCCCACGTTGAGAACCACTGGTCTAGCAGAGCCAGGCCCCCGCTTAGCAGGCAGACACCACACCATCCCACAGTGTAACACAGGGGCAGCCAGACCAAGCAAGGTACATTCAGGGTGCTTGCCGGGCAAGAGTTCTTTGTGCAGTTTCTCATATTCACGTTGGGTCTAAATGCACCTGACTCTGGGCCGATCTCCACCCGCCTCTTACCCGCAGGCGCCCAGATGGCCAGCCCTAGTTGGACTCGACGGCACGTAATCCTGCACACCCACAGTGGTCCTTATGTCTGATGGGCACTGTCTGTGGACCAAGTCCAAGGAGTGTAAAGAGAAATAAAAATCCAACTGTGTCAGTGGGGTTCGGGGACAAGGGGGACATCAGCTGCAGGAAACGTGGGTCTCCCGAGGTCTGAGACGGGTTCTCTTCCCAAGTGTGCGTCCTCTGTCCTCTAGACCCTGAACATGGTGACACCGACCCTGCGCGTGGAGGACTGCAGCATCGCGCTTCTGCCCCGGAACCACGAGAAGAACCGCTGCATGGACATCCTGCCCCCCGACCGCTGCCTGCCTTTCCTCATCACCCTCGATGGCGAGAGCAGCAACTACATCAATGCCGCCCTCATGGACGTGAGCCCCCTCGCCCCCTAGGCAGGGTGTGCGGGGATGGTCCTCCAGGGACAGTGCCTGTGTTCTCTCCGGACTCCTCTGCCCTTGTTTTTTTTAAGATGTAAACTGTACTTGCAGCAAAGTGCATTTCAGATTCCGTATCTGTTTCTGTGTCGGGACCAACGTTCTTAGTCTCTCTGAGACCCCCAATCCAGGCGATTGATGAATGAAAGATGTCTCGGTTACTCTCTGAGCTTCAATTTTTAACCTCCTGGCCGGAGAGCAAGAGACAGCTATTAAGTCACGAGAGCAGCGAAGTGGGATAATGTGGTTTTTGCAGCATTATTTTAGTTGCCATTCCTCCTCATTTGGGCGGTAATTAACATGGGGGAAAGATTGCCTGTCAGCACAGATAGTACACAACTCATTACTTCCTGTCTGTCTGTTTACTTCTAACTGAATGAACATTTGCTGTTCAATTGATGGGCAAAGCGAACGGGTATTTTCAGTGCTAATATGGAAATTTTAATTCTATTGATGTGATATCAGTAAAAGCGTATTTAAACTTGTTTGAAGCTCTGCAGAGCTGTAAAAAGCAAGTGTGTCCTTTGATGGCAGGAATAAGTAACACCATCACACACTTAAATGACAAGCAAACAGATTTTAGGAAAAACAGAACTATTTTAATTATGCATATTTTAAAGTAAAATTTTCTCCATTAAAATAGTTATGTATAGGGCCAACATTGCCTACCAGAAATACAAAAAAAAATATGAAATACTTATTAAGTTTTCTTAGTATCAAAGTGAGATTATTTTATCATTATTATTCTGCAGATGGGTCTATATTTGGTCTGTTTTGGCATTGACAATGGTGATAGAATTCAACAATTGTTAAATACATTCAGTGTTTTATGTCACAAACTCCCATGTGTACAAAATAACTTAGCTTCCTCCTGTTACATTTTCCTGGGTATATTTGGATCTTTCTTGTTTGTGTTTGCAGAGCTATAAACAGCCCTCGGCTTTTATAGTCACCCAGCATCCTTTGCCAAACACAGTGAAAGACTTCTGGAGGCTGGTCCTGGATTATCACTGCACGTCTGTAGTTATGCTGAATGATGTGGATCCGGCCCAGGTGAGACTCGAGATTTATGGCCGTCAGGGCCCGTGCCCGGGGTCAAATCTGTGTTTGCTTTGTTTGCACATGGAGAAGTTCAGTCCCCCGGTGGCAGGTCACAAATGCCAGGCAAGGACAGAGAACCGGAGATGCTAAAAACCCGTGTTAACATGCCGCGGAGCGGCTGGGCCCGTGAGCCATGGCCACTGAGCCTGCGCGTCCGGAGCCTGTGCTCCGCAAATGGGAGAGGCCACAACAGTGAGAGGCCCGCATAACGCAAGAAAAAAAAATAAAAAATAAAATAAAAAAAAAAATAAAAACCCGTGTTAAAAACCAGACGGGATTAGGGGTGGGTGCAGAAAATAGTCTGAAACCAAAAGAGATGGTGGGAGTGACAGGGCGAGACAGGGTCAGAAACTGGGCTGGTACCGAGGGATAGAAATAGTGACCAGATGGGCTTCCCTGGTGGCGCGGTGGTTAAGAATCCGCCTGCCAATGCAGGGGACATGGGTTTGAACCCTGGTCCAGGAAGATCCCACATGCCGCGGAGCAACTAAGCCCGTGTGCCACAACTACCAAACCTGTGCTCTAGAACCCACGAGCCACAACTACTGAGCCCATGAGCCACAACTACTGAAACCTGCGTGCCTAGAGCCCGTGCTCCACAACAAGAGAAGCCACCGCAATGAGAAGCCTGTGCACCTCAAGGAAGAGTAGCCCCTGCTCACCACAAATAGAGAAAGCCAGCGCGCAGCAATGAAGACCCAACGCAGGCAAAAATAAATAAAATAAATTAATTTTTTTTAAAAAAAAGGAAAAGAGGGCTTCCCTGGTGGTGCAGTGGTTGAGAGTCCGCCTGCCGATGCAGGGGATGCGGGTTCGTGCCCCGATCCGGGAAGATCCCACATGCCGCGGAGCCGCTGGGCCCGTGAGCCATGGCCGCTGAGCCTGCGCGTCCGGAGCCTGTGCTCCGCAACGGGAGAGGCCACAGCAGTGAGAGGCCCACGTACCGCAAAAAAAAAAGGAAAAGAAATAGTGACCAGAGGGAGATGCGAGGTAATGGTGCAGAGTCAGAGCTGAACCGGAGCCTGAAGGTTGCAGATCAAGCAGACCAGGACTGTGAAGAAAGGCCGTCAGCCTCTGACACAGTCCCAGATCCCATCTTGGAGCATCTGTGCGCCTCCTGGCACGGCCCACTTGGAGCCCTCAGGTGGCAGTCGTCATGGAGGGGGTGGCAGTGCAGGCCGACAAGCCATTCTAAGGGACAGCAATTACTTTGTCATCTCTTTGGTAAAGATATTAAAAAGAAATAAAACTGGCACTTGAAGAAAAAGAATGATCAACGGGGCTTTTTCATCGCTCTTCTTCTTAAACATAAAAAGGCAGAGAACTGGGTGGTGGTGACTCAGTGTTAATAATGGAGTGAGAAGCATTTTTTTAAGGGACTTGTCAGGACAGCGTGAGCACAGGGGCCCTGGGAGCTGGATGTATTGCCTTAGGGCCTGGCTATTCCAATCGAGGGCTGACCTGCTGTGACAGAGGCCCTTGTTAAGTAGTTTGAACTTGGCGTGTTGTAAGAATAAACTTGCTCTGGAACCGAATTAATTTTCTATCTCATAGACACAAATCCTTTAAAAAAAAAAATAAAACAGGTCTGAAGTATTGCAGCAACCAAACTGGACGAGACTTTTCCTTCCTAAAATCCATTTGATTGTCATCAATCTGCCATATATTCCATGGACCTTCACTTCAATTCTCTAATGTTTTTGTTTTGTTTTGTTTTTGCGGTACGCGGGCCTCTCACCGTTGTGGCCTCTCCCCGTTGCGGAGCACAGGCTCCGGACGCGCAGGCTCAGCGGCCATGGCTCACGGGCCCAGCCGCTCCGCGGCATGTGGGATCTTCCCGGACCGGGGCGCGAACCTGCGTCCCCTGCATCGGCAGGCGGACTCTCAACCACTGCGCCACCGGGGAAGCCCCTGTAATGTTTTGAATTATGTTTGAGGCACTACATTATCTTGTTATGGCTCTAGCCTGAAGACTAGTTAATGAAATAATAATGATAGTCCTTGACCTCATCCAGTCCTTTTTACTTAAGAACCTTAAATATTTTAGGAGTCTTCCCCAGTGATTCTTCTCCGAAGGATAGATGGCAACCATTGATAAAGACAAGCAGACACCACAGCTAGGGGGACTTCAAAGCCACACCCGGAAATAGGACCAAGGATCCTGATTTTCTAACTCACAATGCCATGGGTTAAATTTCACTCATTCAAGAGTCCTTAGTCGTAGACAGAGGATAAGCGATGGTTCCCTCTTCAGAATCGTTGTTTTTCCCCTAATGTGAATCCTGAAGTGTAGTGATACACTGTTTTTTTATCATTAGTGAACCAGACATCAGTGATTTTCACGTGTTCTTTTTGAATGACAGTGTTTGAGTTCTAAAGCTGCATTCTAACCCCAAACTGTCTGGACTCACACCTGGCAGGAGAGACAGAGAAGCCCCAGTTCCATTCAGCAGACAGGGCCAGTGTTGAGAGTCAGAGAAAAGTTGCTCCTGGGATTCAGCCTTTTAGAGAACACTAAACGGAGCATTTGAACCGAAAGTCTTTGCAATTGCACAAGAATAGCCCTCAACTACTTTAAGTATTTATAGGTCTGGTTCATGGACATGTTATGCACTATTTAAGCCATTTTCCACACGGTTTCCTTGGGCAGAATGCAGAATGCCGTATGCCAGGAGCCAAGCACCAGCCCGAGCCGTTCCTGTTTCTCTGGTGTAAGTGACAAGCTTTAGATCAGGGCCTGAAGTGAGAGAGCGAACAGAGAGCAAAGCCGGCTCAGGCAGGAGAAAATGGGCAGAACGGTTCAAATGTGCGTGTTCGAGCTTTTATGACCAGCTCAGCTTCCCATCGTACACCTGTTAATTTTAACAGTGGGTACCCTTGGGTATCAAAAAGAAGATAAAACTTCAGCAGGCTATCTTTTGACAAAGGCAGTTTTATAACGTCACCAGGAAGCACTGGTGAAGAAGGGAAAATGTTGTGGAAGCATTATTTTGAAATAATAAATGTAATTTCTAAAATACTATAGACTTAGCTAATGTAAAAAGGACACTTGGTTACTCCACTTAAATTCTTGATCATGAAAGCCAAACCTTTAACTTCTGTAATAGAGGGAGGGAGATGGCTTCGGTTGACCCACTGAAAACTATCTTACAATCTTGGATGTAAATCAACTGTTGTAACTTTTGATGATGAGATTTCAGATCCTTTGGAAAATAAAAGCCATCAGTAAAAGGAATTTCAAGCAGTAGGTTCTCCCTTCATGGTACATCATTCTGCTTAAAATGAGATGGTCTTCATCTGCTCTTGGCCCAAAAAGAAACAGATTGTAGAATAATGAAGTAATTCCCTCTTGCCCCTCCCCCCAGCCATTTGTCCCTCAGGTAAATCAGAAAGAAAAACGTTAAATGCTGCTCCCAAAACATCACTGCATACGAAGTCCCCAAAGAAGTTTCACTGCAGACTTTAAATGCCTTAATTAAGGTCTTCAGGCTTTCGAAAAGGTTTGGGAGAACAGATCAGGGGGGTTTCTCACCTATCTCCAAGTTCAGTGTTTCTGTGGGGCAGCAGTAAACGAAAGCCACTCCCTCATCAGCCACCCTGCCCAGCACCCCGCCCTCCACCCTCATGTCACGTGCATCGCATTCTTGCAAAAGTCCTAGTTTCCCAGTATCACCAATACCTGGAGTTTAAGACTCTAGGAAACTGTGTCTTTAATTAAAGCCACCTCCAGGTAAAAACAGCAGAGCAGTTACCCTTATTACACCAGGTTTCCTAGATGTGAGCTGGGAGGGTTTGGACCAGAGCATGAAAATGCAACCCAACACTGTTATCAGTATCTTGTCACAAAATAGCCCTGTTCTTAAAAGTGACTACAAACTGCAAGGCAAGCCCAGATGGGAGGATGGAGATTTGGGTGTTAACAGGTATGTCTTAATCTCAAGTGTCGTAGGTCTTATAGTGGCAGCTCGTGGCATCTCCCCAGGGCCTGAGAAGAGTTCCTTTCAGCAGCAAAAGGGATCTTACAGCATGTGTTCAATAGCACCCACATGACCTCCTTGGGAAGCAGAATCCCTCGTGGCTTAAAGATACTTTCGGAGAAAAAAGTAGTAGACAGACAGGTGGATTTAAGGGATCAGTCAACAAGAAAGTCCTAAAGTCGACTTGCTGGAAGGAAAAGAGAGAAAAGAAAGGAAAGGAAGTGAATTGAGGGCGTTTGGTCCTGCTGCCGGTAGTGACCGCATCCAAACTGTGAGCAGTAAATGTATTTTTATCATTAACGTCGCGTCTCTGTGTTCTGAACTCAGTTGTGTCCGCAGTACTGGCCGGAGAATGGAGTCCACAGACACGGCCCCATCCAGGTGGAATTTGTTTCTGCTGACCTGGAAGAAGACATCATCAGCAGGATATTCCGAATTTACAACGCAGCCCGAGTAAGATCCGCAGCCGCCATGGCTGGTGTTGTGGTTTCATGATTTTCTCATTTGTTGAATAGGTAGAGTGTCCGTGTCAGTCACTGTTCTGGGAGCTTGGAGTCCCTTCAAGGAGTTTGTGAACTCACTGACCTTATGGAGCTTATGTTCTAAAGGGAGAGGACAGACAGGAGAGGATAAAGACAACACATAACCTACTAGATTGTTAGCAAGCGGTGGGTGCGGTAGGAAAAAAAATTGGGGAGGCAGAAGGTGGACCAGAGGGAGAGCAGACGTGCCATGTGAGCAAAGGCCCGACTGGAGTGAAGGGGCAGCCATGTGCTCTCGTGCAGGCAGCTTTGCAGGCAGAAGTGACAGTCAGTGCAAAGGCCCTGAGGTGGGGCCTTGTCTGCTGAGTTCCCGGAACAGTAAGGAGGCTGATGTGGCTGCAGCCCAGGAAGCAAGGGTGGGAGTAGCTGCTGGGGCCGAAGTCCGAGGGGTCGAGGGGACAGAGATCACTTAGGACCTTGCAGGCCGCTGCCAGGACTGGGGCTTCTGCTGTGAAAGAAAGAAGGAGCCGTTACAGGGTTTTGAGTAGAAGAGTCATGAGCTATAACCTGCCGTTTAAAAGGCACACTCTGGCTTCTGTGTTGAGAACAGACAGTAAGAGAGACGCATCAGGAGGCTGTTATAATAATCCAGGCGAGAAGGGACAAAGCAGGACGGAGTGGCAGCAGGGGGAGGGGTGGGAGGTGCAGGCACTGATATTTTGACGGCAGAGCCGATCGAATTGGCCAGATAGTTTGGATCCCAGGGAGTCGAGGTGGTTCTCAGGATTTGGGTCCTGAGAGCTAGATGGAGCAGACGTTAACCAGGTTAGGAAAGGCTGTGCGGGTAACGGGATTGTTAGGGGTGGGGGAACGCGTGGACAGAGGGTCCATTCAGGGGGGAACATACTGGATTCAAGATGACTATTAGATGCCTATGTGGGAATATCAAGTAGGCCCTCGAGTCTGTGAGGGTGCAATTCAGGAGAGAGGTCTGAACTGGAGACACAAATTGAGGACTTAATGGAAGATTTAAAGCCATGAGACTGAATGAAACCATCGAGAGAGAGAAGAGAAAGGGACCCGAGAACTGAGCATGGGGCCTCCATCAGCAACAGGTCTGGGAGGAAGGGGGACAGGGCAGAGAGGAGAGAGCAGTGGAGGGGGAAGAACAGCCGGGAGGGGACGGGGAGAGTGAGATCCCCTGTGTCGGGTGCTACCGACAGCCACGGAGGATTTAGCCCGAGAGGTTTAGCCGTGGCCAGGTTACTTCCTGAATCCTGCAATTCCATTTAATTATGACAAAAGATTAATTAACTATTGATATCTTAGCAAGAGTCACACCAAGAAGCAGAACCATATTCTACTCCCCGGAAACAGGGTGTAATCTGTGTCTCTCTGAGATCACAAACATTGCCAGGTCATAATTTATCCTTTACCTTTAATTTGCCTGTAATTAAAGTCAAGCCTTTTTACCACTTGTTGCCCACTGTGGTCAGTGCTCAGGTTTGCGCTATTTTTCACAAAACTGTGTGAGCAAAGGCCCAACCGGAGTGAGGGGGCCCTTTTGCAAAGCAATAGCATTCTGCTTGCTTTTATTTGTCTGGCCTGTCATTGGAAACACATGGATATTTTTTTAACATCTTTATTGGAGTATAATTGCTTTTCAGTGTTGTGTTAGTTTCTGATGTATCACAAAGTTAATCAGCTATATGTATATCCCCATATCTCCTCCCTCTTGCGTCTCCCTCCCACCCTCCCTATCCCACCCCTCTAGGTGGTCGCAAAGCACTGAGCTGACCTCCCTGTGCTATGCAGCAGCTTCCCACTAGCTATCTATTTTACATTTGGTAGTGTATATATGTCAATGCTACTCTCTCATTTGTCCCAGCTTACCCTTCCCCCTCCCCGTGTCCTCAAGTCCATTCTCTATGTCTGCGTCTTTATTCCTGTCCTGCCCTTAGGTTCATCAGAACCTTTTTATTTTTTTTTTTATTAGATTCCATATATATGTGTTAGCATATGGTATTTGTTTTTCTCTTTCTGACTTACTTCACTCTGTATGACAGACTGTAGGTCCATCCACCTCACTACAAATAACTCAATTTCGTTTCTTTTTATGGCTGAGTAATATTCCATTGTATATATGTGCCACATCTCCTTTATCCATTCATCTGTCGATGGACACTTAGGTTGCTTCCATGTCCTGCCTGTTGTAAATAGTGCTGCAATGAACATTGTGGTACATGACTCTTTTAAAATTATGGTTTTCTCAGGGTATATGCCCAAGAGTGGGATTGCTAGGTCATATGGTAGTTCTATTTTTAGTTTTTTAAGGAACCTCCATACTGTTCTCCATAGTGACTCTATCAATTTACATTCCCACCGACAGTGCAAGAGGGTTCCCTTTTTTCCACACCCTCTCCAGCATTTATTGTTTGTAGATTTTTTTGATGATGGCCATTCTGACCAGTGTGAGGTGATACCTCATTGTGGTTTTGATTTGCATTTCTCTAATGATTAGTGATATTGAGCATCTTTTCATGTGTTTGTTGGCAATCCATATATCTTCCTTGGAGAAATGTCTGTTTAGGTCCTCTGCCCATTTTTGGATTGCATTGTTTGTTTTTTGATATTGAGCTGCTTGTATATTTTGGAGATTAATCCTTGGTCAGTTTCTTCATTTGCAAATATTTTCTCCCATTCTGAGGGTTGTCTTTTTGTCTTTTTTATGGTTTCCTTTGCTGTGCAAAAGCTTTGAAGTTTCATTAGGTCCCATTTGTTTATTTTTGTTTTTCTTTCCATTTCTCTAGGAGGTGGGTCAAAAAGGATCTTGCTGTGATTTATGTCATAGAGTGTTCTGCCTATGTTTTTCTCTAAGAGTTTTATAGTGTCTGACCTTACATTTAGGTCTTTAATCCATTTCGAGTTTATTTTTGTGTGTAGTGTTAGGAAGTGTTCTAATTTCATTCTTTTACATGTATCTGTCCAGTTTTCCCAGCACCACTTATTGTAGAGGCTGTCTTTTCTCTATTGTATACTCTTGCTTCCTTTATCAAAGATAAGGTGTCCATATGTGCGTGGGTTTATCTCTGGGCTTTCTATCCTGTTCCGTTGATCTATATTTCTGTTTGTGTGCCAGTACCATACTGTCTTGATTACTGTAGCTTTGTAGTATAGTCTGAAGTCTGGGCGCCTGATTCCTCCAGCTCCGTTTTTCTTTCTCAAGATTGCTTTGGCTATTCGGGGTCTTTTGTATTTCCATACACATTGTGAAATTTTTTGTTCTAGTTCTGTGAAAAATGCCATTGGTAGTTTGACAGGGATTGCATTGAATCTGTAGATTGCTTTGGGTAGTAGAGTCATTTTCACAATGTTGATTCTTCCAATCCAGGAACATGGTATATCTCTCCATCTGTTGGTATCATCTTTAATTTCTTTCATTAGTGTCTTGTAGTTTTCTGTATACAGGTCTTTTGTCTCCTTAGGTAGGTTTATTCCTAGGTATTTTATTCTTTTTGTTGCAATGGTAAATGGGAGTGTTTCCTTAATTTCTCTTTCAGCTTTTGCGTTTTTAGTGTATAGGAATGCAAGAGATTTCTGTGCATTAATTTTGTATCCTGCTACTCTACCAAATTCACTGATTAGCTCTAATAGTTTTCTGGTAGAGTCTTTAGGATTCTCTATGTATAGTATCATGTCATCTGCAAACAGTGACAGCTTTACTTCTTTTCCAATTTGGATTCTTTTGATTACTTTTTTCTTCTCTGATTGCTGTGGCTAAAACTTCTAAAACTATGTTGAATAACAGTGGTAAGAGTGGACAACCTTGTCTTGTTCCTGATCTTAGAGGAAATGGTTTCAGTTTTTCACCATTGAGAACGATGTTGGCTGTGGGTTTGTCATATATGGTCTTTATTATGTTGAGGTAGGTTCCCTGTATGCCTACTTTCTGGAGAGTTTTTAGCATCACATGGTTTTTTATAATGGCTCCAGATTGAAACTCGTAACTCTTTGGGCCAGTAGACGTTTCCTTCGTTATTTACAGGCAGGCCCCTCCTTCCCTCGTGCCCACTGGGATGAGTAGGTGGGATCAACCCTCTGGAGTTCAGCCCCGGGAATAATGCCTGCTTTCTCTCCACTCCCCGCTTGTTGCCCGACTCTCTGCAGCCCCAGGACGGGTACCGGATGGTGCAGCAGTTCCAGTTCCTGGGCTGGCCCATGTACAGGGACACGCCTGTGTCCAAGCGCTCCTTCTTGAAGCTCATCCGCCAGGTGGACAAGTGGCAGGAGGAATACAATGGTGGGGAAGGCCGCACGGTTGTGCACTGCCTGTAAGTACTCAGATCCACTGGGCTGACGCCCTGCTTCACTGCCTCTCGTTTCACTATAAATGGAGAAGAAATAAGCAGGTGTGAGTGAAAGCTCATCAGTCCGCTCATTAAGTGTTTGGTTTGCTTTGCAGAAAACAAGATCATGCACGTTTTACATTTGGATGGGGTGTCACTGCTATAAAATGAGACCTGACCTTGTGGTTGGGAGCCAACCCCCCCCCCACTGCCCTCAGAAAAACAATACCTGGGTAGGTTCAGTGAGCTCTTACCAGCTCTTGAGAGCCCATTGTTAAGCTTTGGGGAATTTTCTGAGCTGGTTGTTAAACTGTTGGTAACTTGAAATCATCGGTGGTGGGGGTATTTACATCGTGGATGTCAGCAAAGGCCACAATCCGGGCACCCTCCCTGATATGGAAAAGCTGGTTTACCAGCTCACTAGTTGGTAATTCTTTTGGATTTCTTGTCACAGGTTTCAAAGGAACCATCTCCTTCTTCTTTGTGGTTTTTAAGAGAGTTTTGTTTTGTCTCATTTTGTTTGCCTGGGGATATATATATATTGGGAAGATTTGCTTACAGCCAGTGTCTCCAAACTGGTCTCCCGGCTGGCAGTTTTAGCAGGTGCTAAAACGGGAGAACTTGGCTACAGAATAATGGTTCCCGACCTTGGCTGCACATTTGGGGAGCTTTAAAAAAAAAAAACAAAAAAACAAAAAAAAACACTATGCCCAGCCCACAGCAAAACCACCTAAATCAAAATCTCTGGGGAGTGCGAGGACCTGGATTGTTTCAGAGTGCCCCCAAGGTTGAGAGCCACTGGCTCAAGTCTCCGTGCTTTTCAAAGCACTTTCACCTGCATTTTCTCGTAGGTGATGGTAGCAGCTAATCAGCCAGTTGGAGCTGGCTTAATGGAGCCGGCAATTAGAAAGCCCTGCAGTCAGGGGAGATGGGTAGAGAATTTGTGGAAACTGAAACTATAAGCTGATGTCTCTTTTCGGTGGAGTGTCATTAGAAGCGCACAGTGAGATCTCTCCCCAACTGAAAGGAAGATAAAGCTCTACTCTGGGCAGACCGACCCTTGTGAAATCAACAGGCGAAGCTAAGGGCTGGGTTTCCGTCCACTTGGTGCTGTATCTCCCGCAATGCAGCCCCCGTACCCCAAACCCCACCCCCACCCCGGGGTCTGGGAGCTTCCCTGGGAGCCCCTTTTTGCACCGAACATGGCAGTGTCTCGTCCTGCAGGAAAGTGCTGTGCCCTCGGGAAGAATCGTGTGAACTGACTCATGCCTGCCCTCCGTCAGAGGCCCCACCCCCAAAACCTTGCCTTCCTTCTCAGGGACCCAGTTCATTAAAAACATCTCCACCGAGAAAATGTCCAAAAGGATCGATTAACAGCTCACGTCCCCGTTTTTATTTCTCTACGCCCAGGTATAACTTCTGATCAGAATATAATCAGAGGGTCACCTGTGTGAGTTCATACAAGCCCAGCAAGGAAAACTGACATTTTGGTTAGAGTTTGCATTCGATCCGTTAGGTTTCTTGGAGATACTAAAAATAGTTTGCAGTTACGGATTTCTGCGTCTGGACTCCACCAGCGTCTGGACTAGGGATGCCGCGCTCCCTAGTAGCTTCCTAACAAGGGCCAGTGCTGTAACCCAAAGGGCTACATCCCAAGAGGGGAGCTGAGGTACAGGACAGGCCTGAGGGGAAGACACAAAGACCCCTTGAATCACTGCACTTCATAGCCACACTCTCCCAAGGCACAGCTGCGACCCCGGAACTAAACCATTACATCACCACCCCACGTGGTGGCTAAGACAGCGGGCCGTTCTTTAACTCCAGTGGACGTGGTGGGCACTTGCTGCTTCTGCCCTCCGACCAGCCTAGCCCCCACCCCCCTGGACTTTTCTTTGGAACCACCGTCCCCACCAAAAGTCCCTGCTGTTCCTGTGGGGCTGCCTCGCCCTCTCTCAGCATTACGGTGGGCATGAGACCCAGGCCTGCTGAGGATGCTGATCGTTGTTGAGATTTAAAAATCTTAATCTAAGGTTTTTTAGTTGTGGGAACATGCCAGGAAAGGATGCTTTGACCCCCAAAGGCAACCTGCTTTCCATCTCTAAGGAGACATCTTCGTATTCAGCAAAGCGCAGCGCCACCTACTGGCATTGGGCAGAGCGTCCCTGCCCGAGACGCCCTCCAGGGCTGTGAATTAGATGGTTCCTTGAGCCGCATTATGGCTCGCACTAAGCAAACGGGATTCTTTTTCTTTACACATGTCTTCCAGCTAGTAAAACCAGACAGAATGGAGAGAATTAAGATATCACCATCTTTCAACCCTTGATGAAAGTAATGGAAGTAGACAGTGGTCGTCGATAGCTGCTGAAAGCGTTAGGTGAAAAGCCGATGGGGGAAAAGCAGTGAGGCGTCAGTGCAAAGAGAGAACACAAACTAAGGGAGCAGAAGAGAAAGTCCAGGAACGGAGCCACACCTCGGGGTCTCCTGATTCACGACAAGGTCCCACAGCACACACCTACTGCAGGGCAGTGGTGTCCCTTCTCATGCTACAGACAGAAAGCATCTCCAGGTGGATTGTAGACCAACACGTGAAAAGGAAAACAATGAAGCTTCTAGGGAAAATCTTCAAGACCATGGGGTAACCAGAGATGTGTTACACAGGACAGTATCCATAAAGGAAAACATTGGTAAATTGGATTTCATTAAAGCTAAGCACTCCTGTCCATCCAAAGACCCCAGTGAGAGTGAAAACACAAGACAAGACAAAGAGTTTTGCGCTACACACGTCTGACAAAGGATTCATAGCCAGAATGCCTAAGAACTACTGCAAGTCAATAGGAAAAGGATAGACACTCCAATTGTTTGGGCAGAACACTTGATAAGAACTTCATTTTTTAAAACAGAATACCCAAATAGCCAATAAGCATAGAAAAGGCATCATTACTTTTCAGGAAAATACACATTAAAATACATTAAAATCGGATGCCCCTGCGTGCTCACCAGAATGGCTAAAATTTAAACGATAAACAAATAAATGATTCTAAGTGTTGGGAAGCTGTGGAGCAACTGGACTCCCAAACGCTGCTGGTAGGAAGTAAATATATACAACCATTTTGGAGCCGGTTAACAGCATCTACTAAAGCTAAATATAAATGTATCCTCTGAGCTTTTCTCCTCTGAGGTCCGTGACTACAGAAATGAGTCATATATGCAATAGGAAACATGCTTATAGCAGGTATACTCATAATATGGAAAGCTGCAAACATCCCAAACATTTGTCAGCTCCTAGATAAAGAAATTATACAGTAGTATAATTATACAGTAGTATATCCATTCAATGGAATTGTTCTCAGCAATGTAAGAGAACGAACTACTGATACAATATGGGTTATTCTCACACAGATAATATTAAGTGAAATAAGCCAGACTCAAAAGAGTATATACTGTATGATTCCATGTATTCAAAATTCAAAAACAGACAAAAGAAACTTATAATGCTAGACGTGAGAACAAAGATTATCTTGGGATATTGATGGTGTTGATGAGGAAGGAATATTGGAAGGAGGGGGGTTCAGGGGGCTGATAGCGGTCTGTACCCTGATCTGAATGGTGGTTACATGGCATATGCAGTTGTAGAAATTAACAGAGATCTATATTTACCATTTGTGGACTTAATTATAGGTATGTTATACTTTATCTAAAAAATGGATTAGGAACTTAATCAGGGAATGATCAAGCTGGCACTGGAACACAGAGATCAATCTTAAAATCACGGAACAGGTTGATATCTTGTGCCTGCTTCCCAAGGAAAGTTCATTTATAAAGTATCCTTGTCCAGAAAAAAAAAAAAAATCCTGAATTCTTATGACGCTCTGGAGCTAACTCCCAATTAACAGGAAGTATAGGATTAGAAATTGGTGTGTTAAGTGCTTCTCAGAGATACAGTGAATGAGAACAACCCAGAATGTGGGTTGTCATTTTCCCTGCAGGGGAAAATGACCCCCTTTCCTCAACAAATAAATTGCCAAGAGAAAAAAAGAAGAGAGCAAAGAGGAACCTATAGATTAAAATAAACTTGCAAGACATGTCAACCAAATTCAACGTGTGGACTTTGCTTGGATGAGGATTTGAAAAAGTTAACTGTAAGAAAATGTCTGAAACAATCTTGGAAATTTGGACAGTGTCTAGAAATTTGATTCTATTAAACTGTAGTGTTTATTTTAGGTGTACTAATAATGATATTGTGTTTATTAAAAAAAGGATCCTTTATCTACTTGGAAAAGTGGTTGATTCCAGAGCTGGTGCAGGGAAGGAGATACTGGATGAGCGTAGAACATCTTGTGGTTCTAGAAAGTAAGGAAGTGCTTGAAAAGAGATGGAGGAACCAGCCTGATGGAGCTCCTAATGGCCAAAACCAGAACAATTTCAGCAACAAAATAAATATGGATACTATTTTAGCTCATAGAAGTGAAATTAATATGTATAAGTCTAAAGTGACTTAAATAAATAATAAAATAGAAATAAATAAGCAAATAAATTTTCAAATGGTGGCTGAGAGACAGCTCTCTCTTTAGAGTAGGATGTAGAAGGAGAGAGGGAAGTGAAAACCAGTCAGGCAGATATCACTGTGACTTGTTGCAGATGGGATCTACCAACGGACACTAAAATCAGCGGGTGAAACTTTGAAGAGAAACAAGACATTTGCATAATCCCAAAGTATCGTTCGCAAGATACTAACTACAAAGAGAAGTTATGAGAATTTATGATGGTAATTATACATAACTACACAGTGAAAAAATCTGCCAGACACCCACCGTCTTAATAAGCGACCAGGGGTGGGATAGGCAGGGTGGGAGGGAGGCTCATGAGGGAGGGGACATGGGGATGTATGTATATGTATAGCTGATTCACTTTGTTATACAGCAGAAACTAACACACCATTGTAAAGCAATTATACTCCAATAAAGATATTTTTAAAAGAATATAGTAGAATACAACGTTGTAAATCAACTATACGTCAATAAAATAAATTTTAAAAAAAGAATATAGTAGAAAGGCAAAAAAAAAAAGTGACCAAGGTCGACATCATGAGCAATAAGACAGTTCAACACCATGAACCTTCAAAGGAGGTAACAGCCCTTCCGTGGCTTTCTTGCCAAAGTGCATAACCTCATTTCCAGTGTTGAGAAGGCATCAGATGAACTCAAATGAAGGACTTTCTACAATTTGTATTTTGTGATGACTTCTCAAATCGTGGAAGGGGACCACGGGTGTTTTCTACATCTCACTCCATATTCCATACTCTACAAAACAACTGACCAGTCCTCTTTGAAAGTGCCAAGGTCAAGAAAGAGGGAAGATGGAGGACTGATCACATGGAAGAGACTAAGGAGGTGTGACACCTAAATGCAAGGTGGGTCCTGGACTGGATCCTGGACCAGAAAAAGTGGTGACACTTAACTAAGGTCTGTAGTTTAGTTAATAGTGTTATACCAGCATTAACTTCCTGGTTTTGACCATCTGCTATGGTTATGTGACATTTTTACATCAGGGGAAGGTGGGCAGGCAAGGAACTCTCTGTGCTATTTTTGCAGTGATTCTGTACATCTAAAATTAATCCAGAATAAAAAGTTTCTTTAAAAAGAGCCCTTATGTTTTAGAGATAAATCATGACATGCTAATGGATTATTTAAAGCCAAATCCATCTTTGAGCATAACCCACACCCATCACAGTTTTCCTGCACATGCTACACCAGTTGTTTGTTTATTGAAAAATTTCCTGGGTGGTCCCTTTCCATAAAAACTGATAAATTGCCGTATCAGCTTACATCATCAGGGCAGAGACGAACTGGGAGAGCAGGATGTGCCAGTGTCCCATCACGTCCAGTCAGGTGATCCCTGGGCCCCATTTGCATCAGTAGAGGGATGGGCCCAGGTGGAGAGTCCCAGCCGGGAGGGCTTAGGCAACAGGTGCACACAGGTGGTGGGAGCCGTGCGGTGCGAGAGCGACCCAGGCCCACCACCTGCCTCTCCGCCTCTTCCCACAGGAACGGGGGAGGCCGCAGCGGGACCTTCTGCGCCATCAGCATTGTCTGTGAGATGCTCCGGCACCAGAGGACGGTGGACGTCTTCCACGCCGTGAAGACGCTGAGGAACAACAAGCCCAACATGGTGGACCTGCTGGTAGGACCCCGTCCATCCCGCTCGGGGGGCCCTTTCCCGGTTAGCGTGAGACACCTGGCCCCTCGCTCAGGCTGACCCCTGGGAGGGAGAGACTCGTGTTCACAGTGCAATCGCTTCGCTCGTGCGGGTTTTTCTCCCTCGTTCTCCCTTCCTCTGCCTTTTCACAAGGAGACTCAGCTCAGCACATTTGACACATGGAAATAGTTGAAACTCACAAGCGAACGTCCTGATTAATTGCCGTTCTCGGCAGCGCCTTCCACGTGGCTAAGCACTTCATCTTCACAGAGAAGAAATAATCATAGCACATGAAATGCCAGATTTTCAAATTACATATTTTATAAATAGCTTAATCACCTAATATTTATCAAAGCTGGGAATTGGAGTTTGACATCCAGACGATTGCATCTAATTACGGTGGCCATATCTGAGGAAAGGATGAAAGAGGTGGAGAAACAAAGGACGATGTGGAATTATTTTCTTAGAGTATTTCATGAAATCTCTTTTTTGTGCGGAGCTGTTGAGACGCCAACCACTGAGACTCAAGAATAGGAGAATAGCTTAAAGGAGGAAGCTTTTCGATGAGGTTTTTGTACTTCTCTGTCACTGGAGGAAGGATCGGGAGGAAACAGTAAGACTGATCCCAAGGTGGGGCGAATGGGCGGGGGCGGGGGCGACGGGGTCACTGATGAGCTTGGAAAGCCTGCGTCCTGGGTGCGCAGCACTGCAGCAGGGGGTCAAAATTGTAAATGTAATAAAGGGACTAAAGAGGGAACTGGGATTCAAGCTGAGGCTGAAGAAGCAGCCGTAGCCCCTGCCAGTGATGGCCACGTCCGAGCCCTGCTTGGCAAAAGCCCTGCTTCCCCCACGACGTGCCTCGTGCCCGACGAGCTGCTCCCGCCTCCAGGAGCACCGTGCTGCCCAGGGAATTTGGTAAACAGGCACCTGTTTGGCCAGGTGCAGACTCTCAAACCATCAGCAATTACCATGTTGGTTTCTGTGAAAAAAGGATCTTGCCCCCCACATGGCAGCTCCCTGCCCTGCCCTGCGGACGCCCCTGCGAACCCACCGTCTAGTCTCAGCTCTGCTCATTGGAGTGAAGTAACCTCAGACAAAGTACCTTGGCTATTGAAGTCGCCTTGGGCACGTCGCTCTACTTTCCTGAGCCTGAGTCGTGTAAACTAGGGATAGTGTTCGTTTATTGAGATCATCCCACGTGACGATATGTGTGAGAGTGTTTTGGAAGCTGCCCAGGTGAGAAAGACCTGGTCCCTGAGAGTGGAGGGGTCGACGGGGCACAGAGTGGCCTGGTCCCTGAAAACGAGTGCTGGGTGAGGGCGAGGGGGCCACCGGAGTGCAGCATGTATACACACGGTGCTCATAAGTGCCTTTCCCATGGCCCAGATGTCACGCGGATGGGCCAGGAGGCTGACCCTCACATACCATGCCCGGACTTCACTAGTCAGAGAACTCTCTCACTCCCCAGGACCACCCCCCCCATCCCGAATTTTAAAGAGTTCCCCCACCATGGAATTCTCCATCTTCTAGGCTTAGGGCAGTTGAGAAAAGGCCAGTTGGGCAGTTAGAGGTGGCCTGAGTTTAGAACAGATAAGCAGATTGACAGAGGATGACAGAGGATGGAAACAAATGCATAATGAAAATATTCTGACTGTGATGTCATTCGGTATTTAACGCCCTGATTCAGGGACGGGTGTGTTGCTTCCAAACTTCAGTTGGTACTTGAAAAAAGCTGACCCTGATTTTTTTTTTTAAATGTCAGTTCCCTCTCACTACAGCCTGAACTAAGCAGATCATTAGAAGCAGACCCTTCCAGGCCTTTCCCCCAGTGGCTCTGGCTACAGCTTCCATCACTCACCAATTTTTTTTTTTTTTTTACATCTTTATTGGAGTATAATTGCTTTACAATGGTGTGTTAGTTTCTGCTTTATAACAAAGTGAATCAGTTATACATATACATATGTCTCCATATCTCTTCCCTCTTGGCGTCTCCCACCCTCCCTATCCCACCCCCCTAGGTGGTCACAAAGCACCGAGCTGATCTCCCTGTGCTATGCGGCTGTTTCCCACTAGCTATCTACCTTACGTTTGGTAGTGTATATATGTCCGTGCCTCTCTCTCACTTTGTCACAGCTTACCCTTCCCCCCTCCCCATATCCTCAAGTCCATTCTTTAGTAGGTCTGTGTCTTTATTCCTGTCTTACCCCTAGGTTCTTCATGACATTTTTTTTTCTGAAATTCCATATATATGTGTTAGCATACGGTATTTGTCTTTCTCTTTCTGACTTACTTCACTCTGTATGACAGGCTCTGGGTCTATCCACCTCATTACAAATAGCTCAGTTTCGTTTCTTTTTATGGCCGAGTAATATTCCATTGTATATATGTGCCACATCTTCTTTACCCATTCATCCGATGATGGACACTTAGCTTGCTTCCATGTCCTGGCTATTGTAAATAGAGCTGCAATGAACATTTTGGTACATGACTCTGTTTAAATTATGGTTTTCTCAGGGTATATGCCCAGTAGTGGGATTGCTGGGTCATATGGTAGTTCTATTTGTAGTTTTTTAAGGAACCTCCATACTGTTCTCCATAGTGGCTGAACCAATTCACATTCCCACCAGCAGTGCAAGAGTGTTCCCTTTTCTCCACACCCTCTGCAGCATTTATTGTTGCTAGATTTTTTGATGATGGCCATTCTGACTGGTCTGAGATGATATCTCATTGTAGTTTTGATTTGCCTTCATTCACCAATTTTTATGGGCAGGAGCAACGTGGCTTTTCACAAATGCGCAGTGCAGACTATAGGACAAGGGTGATTTTACATGAAGGAAGCTTCTGATCTCAGCCCACTTACCTATAATAGCCAGGGCGTTTCCGTAGTTATGTGTGATTCTGATAGAGAAGTAGGATCCTTGGATGCCCAAAACCCCGAGGGTCAGCACCAGTTTTAGGATCAACTCAGTGGCTGAGAAATGTAGGAGAGTCCTACAATTTCCTGAGAAAAATGTCTGATAAACTTGTCACAGTGCCTGCTGGCGGGATAATGGATAATATCTGGTGACCAGAGAAAAAAATGTCACGATGCTCTTTTCAGTGGGTTTGAAGCTTCTTGAGTTGAATCAGGGCTCTTGTCGTTGGCTTGTTTGTTTTTGCCTGTAAGTACAATTTCTGTTTAGTTTGGTACTCGTACATTTGTGTGTTGGCTGAGAGAATTAATTAATTCAAGTCAAGGAGATAAAATCTGGTATAATTTTATTGGGCATAAAAGACCTGTGTTTCTCCTAAGCACAAAATGTTGTACCAGCAGCTGAAGAGGTACCTCCTAGCTGCCTCTGCGCAGAATGAAGTGGGAGCCAGGATGCCCTGGAGCGCACCCCAGGAGGTAGGCGGGTGCGCATGGGGAGCCCCGCCAGGTGCCCCTGGGTCTGCTCATTGGGGGCCCGTTCCATTCAAACACCAAAATTTGCTGCCACGCCCTCCCTGCCAGGGCCGGATGAATGTTCCGCGGCGGTCGGTGTGCCCGTCTTCATCTCCCCTTGCAGCTCACTATTTTTCCAAATTGCTTCTGAGTTCCAAACTTCCCTATGCGTTTTGAAGCATGGCACTCTCCAGGGAGAGCCAGAAGGCCCTATGGATTTATTTCTTCAAATGTTTAGGTGTGGAGGCTCCAGGGGAAAGCCAGTGGACTGCCGGGAAGCAAAATCATTTTAACACAAGACTAGATGTTTTGATGCAGCAGGGGCCGCTGGGTTTGTTTCCTGACCCCTCCTTCAGGCCAGCTTCTCAGTTATCCACCTCTTCAGCCAGGCTCCAGCCCCCATCAGAGGCCTGGGTTCCAGGGGGGTGGGGCAGGCCGCGACAGCCTGAGTGAGGTTGGCGCTATTGACCTGGTCAGAGGCGGACAGGGTCGCCCGCTCTGAGCCCCTATGAATCTAGTACAGTTGCTGGAAAACCTGCTGCTTCAACTAACAGTCCTCTCCCACCTTTGCTTCCACATTTGGCTTTTGAAGTTCCCAGGGCTCCTTCTTAACCGAGAAACAGCCTTTAGGGGACAGATCTTGCCTAGGGAAACATATTATCCCCTGGGAGGTGGTGGGAGCTTTGGCCAACGTGCTGATGTGACATACGTACGCGTTATAGAGTGGTTACCAAGTTCACGATAATCAGCACATCTGTGGCCTCAGAGTTAACACAGCTGACTGTGTGTGTGGTCAGAACCCTTACGATCGACGGTCAGCAACTTTCAAGGGTACAATTCCACATCATTAACTCTAGGCACCATGCTGCACATTAGAGCCGCAGAGCTTACTGCTCTTACAACTGAAAATCTGTTCCCTCACCAGCATCACCCCACTTGTCCCTCCCCCGGCAGCCACAATTCTAGTCTCTGTCTCTATGAAATTCACTTTTCTTTAATGGGAGCTTTAAAAAGTTCTGAGCCCTGGGCCCATCCCCGAGACTCTGATCCAGTTGACGTGGGCCTGGCTTTTCAGCAGCGATGGTACCAGCGCCCCAGGTGATCCTAATGTGCAGCCGAGGTTAAGGAACTTAGTAGCTAGTCTAGAAAGGCCCTTGGCCCGTCTGCACATGAGATCACCTGGGGCACTTCGCAAACACAGATGCCAGGCCACGACCCAGAAGATTAGAGCAGTCGGAGCCCGCGTGATGTGCTACAGGGCAAGAAACACGGCTCAGGAGGATATGGAGGCCGTCCCTGTCCTGCCACGTGGGCCGCAGGGCGAGGCCGGGCAGCTTCCTCTCCATCCCACTTGCTCCCACTCAGACCTCTGCCGGGACCTGCCATGACGGACAGGTGACCACCCAGACCGGGCCCCTTCCCTCTTCCCTGCACTGAAATAACATGCTGGCCTGGCACTCCTACAGAGGGCCTTACCCCCGCCCTGCAGCCGCCCCAGCGTGGACAGCACACTGACTCTCCCACTCACGTGTGTAAACTGTCCCCTGAGCCTCTGCCTGAGAACTCACGGGAAACTGACGGGCTATGTGAAAGGCAGGGCGTGTGGGCGTAGGTGTGGTGTATAGGTGTGTGTGGGTGGGGGCGGGTGTGCATCTGTCTGGCTGTGTGTAGGTGTGCATGTGTGTGTAGGTGTGCATGTGCCTGTCTGTGTGTAGGTATGGCTGTGCGTGTAGGAGTGTGTGTGTGTGTGTAGGTGTGCATGTGTGGGGGTGTGTGCCTGTGTCTGGCTGTGTATGTGGGGCTGTGTGTATAGGTTTGTGTGTGTGTGTAGGTGTGCACGTGTGGGCGGGTGTGCATGTGTATGTAGGTGTGTGTGGGTGTGTATGTTGCAGCAGAGGATGTAGGCCTCCGGGGGGTGTCAGAGAGGCTCACTCACGTCCCTGAGCTGTGCCCCCACCGGCCACGTGGCCCGTCTCTGGGACACTGGTGGCATCCACGTCCCCTGGGGCCGGGCCCTGCCACGCATCCTCCCAGGCTCGCAGCCCTGAGCCCACTGACCTGCGATCACACTCCCTGCTCCTGAGGAGTCTGTGTGAATGCCCTGTGCCCCCGCCCACCCCAGACTCTGATCCCCCGGAGGCGGAGCCCCCCCCGCCCACCCCAGCCCCAGGTGAGCTCCTGGCTCTAAGGAGGGCCCAGTAAACATGTGCTGGGCGAGCGGACTTTTCTTCTCTGTACCTGGGCCCGCGTCACCCTGAGACCCAGAAGGTGGCGGCTACAGGCTAACAGGTCTGCATAGGGAGGCAGCTGCACGGACTGATCATGGGCTTTGAGGGAGGAAGTGCTTCAGACTCTTTCAGAGCTATAACGAGGGTAATGACCCACCCACCCATCGTCAGAGATGGGCAGCTGCCTCCCAGGTGTCTCCTAGGCACAATGGTTGGTCACCCAGTGTGACCCGCTATGAACGTTGAACCAAACGGTCCCACCCAGGATTATTGGCACAAGGGGACCACTTCCCCTCCTGGCAGGCATGTCAGTCAGAAGGATTTTTTTCCAGACTGAAGGATTTGTCAGCAAGGATCCAGCTGAAACTGAAGCTGGTGCTAGTTTCCAAAAGCAGGTGCGCGCGAGAGGGAAACTTTGCCCCAGGTGAGCCGTGCAGACTCTTCTCTTTGAATCTTCTTAGGCGACACGGGGTGTTTGAAGTGACAGACTGACCGTAGGGCCCCATTCTGCAGACACAGGCTGCCGTGCTGACAAAGGCACCGTCCAGCCCTGCAGGGGAGCCCCCTGCAGCCGCCCGCTGACACCGTGGCCTCGTGCGGCCCCCGCCGAGAGCGGGGAACGTTAAAGCGTGACCTCACTTTGGGTGCCCTTTCAAACTTCACTTTCTCCCCTTTTGTGGAAACAAGAGGTGGGTCTGGAATGAAGGTGGGGTCAGGGGTGTTTGAAAGGAGTAGCTTGTTGCCCTGGTTATGGTCCAGCACAAAGATGTCGGGTGACAGCTAATGTCACCCAAATCGGGAGATTCTGGGACCAAGGCATAAAAGTTCTTTTTTCCCTGAAGCACAGAGCTAGCTCGTGGGGCTTAATTACACTGTTCAGAAGCAAGGAAGCTGAGAGAGGAAACCACCAAAGACGGGCCTATACCTGGTGATCAAGTGTAACCAGTTTGCAGTGCGGGAAGATTTCAGGCATTTCTCGAGGTGCTTGGGGGAGAAGACGCAGCAATTCATGGCCCTTCTGCTCGTTCCCCTTATTTTTCTGGTTCAGAAACCAGTCACCACAGAGTCTATGGGGGCTGGCAGCTTGCTTAGGAGAGAGAAAATGAGAGAAAGAATTCATTTTGAAAACGATAGTCATGCCTATGACCGGGTACTTTCAGTGACACCCCTACCACAGCCATCCCTCAGGATGAACCCGAGGGATTCACCCCTGGTTTCCTGGTTTCCTCGCCTGTGTTGTGACCTGAGGCCGGCAGCCACATGGCCCTCTAAGTGCATTTTTCTGTGTTAAGAGGATGGTTCATCGTCGGCGCTGAAACTAGTTGCAAGAAGGGATTGATCGTGTTTCTGCAGGAAGGGATTGATCTCTTAGTTTTCCATGAAAAAAAAGAAAAAATGAATTGTCTGTGTGATTCACAAAAACAGAGAAGTGATTGGAGCACTCCATAGCCAGCGTCAGCCCAGTGAGCTGACAGCATAAGAATTTTGAAATTCAAATGATCTCTTTTAGATATTCTGAAAATGAAAGTATCAAACCCTGAAATAATAAATCCTGGAATGTGAATCAGCAAGTTTTAGTGTCACATATTTTTAGTGCCCTTAGGTGTGCTCCTAGGAGTGGAATCCCTGGGTCATAGGGTGACCCTTCGGAGGGACCACCAGATGGTCGTCCAATGGGGCTGCACCATGTTACAGTCCTTCCAGCAGCGTAGGAGGGTTCCAGTTTCTCCACAACCCCACCAGCACTTGATTTTGTCTGTCTTTTGTATTTTAGGCTGGCGGGTGTTAATGACATTGATGTTCAATTTCGTGGCGCCTTCGGTGTGTTGAATGATCTGTTTACTTTGTCTTCACCTCTAGATTGTAGGATCCTGAAGGCTGAGGCTATATCTTGAATTCCCCAGTCTCTGCCTTAAATGTTAAATGGGTTGACTCAAAAGCTGCTAAACCCATTTTTTCTGGTCACCATTTACATACACAACCAATGTTTGACCCCCAGCTGTGTGCCAGGCTCTTTGCTAAGGATGGTGTATTATCCACGGAGGGAGAGACCGTGGCCCTTGTCTTCAAATAAATAGGTTGGTTTAGAGGGGCATTTAGAGAACAAAGTGTGGGTGAAGAAAGAAAATTGCGATGACTAATTAGGCCCGTATCAAAAAAAAAAGGAAATTCCTTTTTTAAATTAATCTGGCAAACCCCAAAGTAAGAGGTGCATTTCCTTGGTCGTGGCCATCATATTGGATGTGAGACAGTGGTCCTGACCACACGGCTGGTGAAAGCCTCCCTCCGACTGAGGGGGAGGGGGGCCTGCCAGTTGCTGAGTGACTGGGCTGCTGCCAGGGGGCAGATGGTGGCGTCCTCAACCCCCGTGTCCCTCTGCTCGGTTAAGAGGCCACACCCAGGTGAGCATCGGTCAGCTCACGGCATAAACACAGGTGCCGAAGGCCCTCCCCTCCCACCTGAAACCCCACCTGGGCCAGGACCTCACACGGGGCTTGCTCAGGCCATGGTCCAGGATCTGAGAATTCTGTGCTCAAGAGAAATGAGCTCGCTGCCCGATTAAGAACTGGTATGTGGCTCCCAGAGGGCATCAGACGTCCCCACTCTGTGCCTTTCCTTATCCTGTCGCCTCCACCTGGGATGCTTGCTAGGAGGACCACGTACTTTATCATTCAAACTGGGACACTCTTGAGAGTGAAAGGGCCTACAAGTAACGATGACGCCAGGACAACAGGCATCAATTGGGACTGTCCCGGGCAAACCAGGACACATAACCACCGCCCCCCCGCTCACGTGCTCATCCTCAGGCTCCCCTATTACCTGCCACCCCCTGCACATCTTCCTTAAGAAGCTCAGCTCCCTCCTCCACTGCACCCACGTTGGGGAGCGTTCGTGGGCCCTGCTCAGCTCTGCCTCGTGAGTGCCATTGGGTGCCCGTCTCATCCTCCTTGTTGGACATGGACTTCTCAGAGTCAGGGACAGGTCAAGACACTTGGTACTTAACAGGTGCTTAATAAACTCTCATAAAACGGAGGAAATCCTGCTGACAGTCAGAGGTAAAGCCGGTCCAGGAGTGAAGCCGCGTTTATTTACTGAGCAAATCATGAAGGCGTGTCCCCAGCCCTCATTATCTTTCCTTCCACCTCTTGGCTTTCCAATAATTTGTACTCAGGATGTTGATGTAACAGGTGAACACATACGTGTGGACAAACAGAGATATGTGTTGCAGTTGTCTAGAACTTGCCAGGAATTCTAGTGAGCATAGATATCAAAATACCTCTTTCATCGGCCTTGCGGGAAACATCTACAAACGACGAATATGCGTGTGGTTCAGGACCATGACTTCCCAGTTCGCGTCTGATTCACATCCTTCCCAGTTTGATTGCTTCCAATTAAAACCCTAATCTGGCATCATTGCTTTCAGAGAAACTGCATCCCGCTATGGCCACGCTGACATTTTGTCCCTTCTGTGTTCCAGGATCAGTACAAGTTCTGCTATGAGGTAGCCCTAGAATACTTGAATGCTGGCTGACGGCGTACACAGCCCTGCACACAAACCTTCCATCCTGCAAAGCCAGGACGTGCCATGGTGTTTGTGCCGATGAGATGAAGACTTCTCGATATGCTTATTTTGCTTTGCCTAATTGGCTCTTTTTAAGAGCCCAAGACAGTGTTTCTAAAACTGCTTGCCCTGCCCGATTCCCAGTACTGCTGCTGCCTGACGGAAAACTACCCTCAGCATCCAGTGGTCCAACCCTGTCCTCCTAGGCACCAGCTCCGTAGAGAAGCATGGACAGCTGATAAACTGAAGAGCACAATTATATTCTTATGAAGGAATTTGTACCTTTGGGGTATTATTTTGTGGCCCGTGAACCTTTGTTATTGTTACAACTGAGTGTACATTTTTGTTCTGTGGAGAATGCTACCTGGCATTATGATAATATATTATTTTAGTTAAAATTTGTATTTTAACATGTCGCATAATATATGTAGCTTTCCAAGACTAACAGATAAACATATAACGAACAAAGAGATGTATGAGCTGTTGTTTCTATCAGGTTTGTACTGTTTCCAGGGGAAAAGCTTGGGAGGCGTTCAGTTCAGAAAGGCGGAGATCGATGATCAGATTCACAGACCTGAAGCTTTGCCATGTGTTTATATTGTAAATATTTCTGATTTCATCAAATTATTTATTCATTAAAAGAAATTTTCGTGAAGCACGTTGAGTGACAATCATTTTTATCCAGCCCTGGAAATGACTTACTACTGTATGATGCTATCTTGTGTGAATTCTCAACTCAATAAATAAAGACCCATGACCAGTGTGGTGTCTGCCTAGTGTACTGGCACCCCGGCGGGGGCAGCTCCGGTCACTCTGGGCCTTTGGCAGAGAGATCGTGCCCGGGTCTGCTGGCCTGGAGCAGGTGGAGTTGGGACTCTGGAGAGAGAACTTTTGTCACTGAGAAATCGAGGCCCATCCTGGGAGCCTCCCCGGGTGCACAAGCCCCAGAAGCCAGAGCCAGTGAACTCTGACCGGCGGGCAGGTCAGGGAGCTCTGGGCCAGATGCCAGGGCGGTGACTTTCTGACCAGGAGCAGCCTCTGCCTTTCTCTGTTTGATCTCAGTGGCCTGGGGGTCATGTGTGTCCTCTCCAAGCCTCATTCAGACCTGAAACTTGCTGACAGAACGCTCTTTAGAGGGTCCCACGATCAGGGTGCATTTGAGCAGGACACCGAGCTGGACAGTACGTTTCCTGTGGGAGGGAAAGACCGCAGCCCGAGCGCTTTCCTGGCCTCTGAAGAATGAGGAAGCCGGGCCGAGGACGAGCACTGAGTTTAAACTGAGCGCCAGGCTGTGTGAAGTGATGGCCGGTAGATGGTGGGGACGGACCTTTGGCGCTTTCCAGCCCATTCTGTGCTGGAAACCGTGCTTCCCAAGTGGCAGCAGAGCCTCCTCCCCAGCCCAACAGTGTGATCGGGGACAGTATGGAGCCATCGAGCCATCGGACAGCTGGAGACGAAAGATTAAATAACTTGTCCAATGTCACCCAGCCTCGTCAGTGCCAGGTGCCTCCAGGGCCTGGGGGGAGGTAGGGGCAGTGGCCCCAGCACCACATCCTTCTTATGACACTCGGGATAGGAAGTGCCCCTCCTCCTGAGACAGGAGACGGCCCATCACCCGCCTCTGGAAAATGGGCTTCCTGCCCACTCTGGGGATCTCAGTGACTAAGAACGACAAGATCAAAGGTTGCCCATCAAGGGGACCGAGGCTGACCCGGCATCCAAGGCCTTCCCTGCTCTGCTGCACTCTGACTACACGATCCACGTGCTCGGGAAGAGCTGGCCGCAGCCCAGTGAGTCTAGACCAAGCCCCTCACTGCCCAGGTCGCCGTGGGCAGTGGCCTCTCAGCATGCCCACCCCACTCTCTTGGACGAGCTCCTAAAAGATAAAAAACGCTTGCTGTCTACCTCTCTGGGGTACAGGAATGGGGACGGATGCCTGTGGCCGGCCGCACACTTTGTGTGCAGGCAGGGCCGTGAGGGAAGTGTCACCCTCAGTCCTCTTGGACAAAGTCGTGGTGGTCTTCACTCCTCGGGTGAAAGAAAAAGCCAGTTCAGC